CCAGATCATCCAAGAACTTGGATAAAATCTTACATGATCAACTTCCAAGTGAAATAAAGACTGATCTAGGTTATGATGATCTGGATCTGTGTGCTCCTAATGACTCTATGTGCATTTCTTCTCACATTCACTCTTCCTCATCTTCGTCTCATTTATCTATTCTGTTGGATCTCTTTCTCCTGGATTCCAAGAAGCATGTTAACACAATTAAGCACACACCTTTAATATCGATTAAACCTGTGTTTATTTATCATAAATGTTATAATTGTGGTGACACTTCTCATCTGGCTAAGAACTGTCCCAAGGAAAGAATCACTAAGCCACTAAAAACAATGAAAGAAGAAAAGACTCCTAACCCAGTGGATCCATTGTAAAACGGGTACCTAAAAACTGATTTATATGTGTTTGCAAGGCTTACCGACAAGTATGGTACTTGGACAATGGATGTTCAAGACACATGACTGGAAACAAGTCCCTACTGATCAACTATATGTCTGAACCTAGTCCTTCTGTAACCTTTGGAGATAATGTCAGAGGTATTACTAAAGGATATGGAGATAACGCCATAGAACACCATATCCTTTAGTAATACCTCTAGAATTATCTCCAAAGATTACAGAAGGACTATATTCAGACACATAGTCGATCAGCAGGGACTTGTTTCCAGTCATGTGTCTTGAACATCCACTATCCAAGTATCATACATGTCGGTGTCCTAAGCCCTGTAAACACAGATAAATCAATTTTTAGGTACCCGTTTTACAATGGGTCCACTAGGGTTAGGAGACTTTTCTTCTTTCTCTTTTCTTACTGGCTTATATATTCTTTCCGAGGGACAGTTCTTAGCCGAATGAAAAGTGGCACCACAATTATAACATTTACAATAAATAAACACATGTTTAATCAATATTGTGTGTTTAACTGTGTTAACATGTTTCTTTGATCTTTTGAAAAAGGAAGAATCTTTTAAAGAAGAGACAGAGGATGAAGAGGGTTTTGGACCAATAATCTCTTTTTCAGACTCAGGGATTGGTTTATGAGAAGAGGTAGAAACCTTGGGAGTCTTTTTCAAAGATACTGGTCGGTGAACGAACTTAGTAATAGAAGGTACTGAGATACTAGACTAAGAAGCATCAGCTGACTGAAATGAGGTAGCCGAAGGTTTATGTTTCATCTTCATTTTGAATTTTGGCTTCTTGTTCTTGATAGGCTTGTCAGTTGACTTACCTTTTTCATGAACATTCGATTTTTGTACTTTGATAGGCTGGTCCACAGACTTGCCTTTCTTAGCAACAGTCAAACGAGGATTCATGGATTGTTTCAGATGCTTAGATGTTTTAGATTTAGATGAGCATGTATCAGGAGATTCCAGAAGAGACAAAGAGTTAAACACACAGTCAACAGAAACATTATCAGATTCAGAGTTTTGATTTTTAGCTTTGACAAAAATTCCGAATTTAAGAGGTTCTCTATTATCATTAGATCCAAGAAAAAGAGATCCAACAGAATCAGATAAATGAGACGAAGATGAGGAAAAGTGAATGTGAGAAGAAATGCACATTGAGTCATTAGAAGCACACATACCCATATCATCATAACCTAGACAAGTCTTTATTTCACTTGGAAGTTGATCATGTAAGATTTTATCCAAATTCTTGGATGATCTAGCCCATTTATGAAGAATGGTTTTTTTTTCTTTCTCAAACTTCTGGTAGACCTTGGTTCTTTCTTTGTTAAGAACATTGTTAATTAACTTTTGTTCTTTCAGGTCATTTTCAACATATCAAAGTCTTTCAGTTGATTCATGTATTTATGTAACTGACTAGTTAGACTTTTACTTTGGATGTCAGCTTTCTTTTTAGCAGATCTACCATTATAAAGATCAACAAATAAGAAATCAAAAGCTTGAACCTTTTCAGATTCAGAAAGAGAAGAGAAGTTGTTTACCTTTTTTGATTTGACCGGATCTTTGGCTTACTTGGAGGTAGAAGGTACATCAACAGCAGTAGAGGTGGATCCCTTGTCAGAGTCTTCTATCTCCCGTATTTTAGCCATAAGGCACAGATGTGCCATATACTCATCACTAGAGGAAGAGGTTGGCTCATCAATCCAATCATGAGTCTCAACCATGAGACTCTTACCTTTTCCCTGAAATCTCTGGTTCTTTGCCTTTTCTCTCTTGTATTTTGCTTTGTACTTGTCATTGAGAGGATCGGATTGCAGGTTGAGAAGAATAATGCTTAGAGATCTTCTTGTTTCTGCACTCAACAACAAAATGACCTTTCTTGCTACACTTGAAACACTCCTCATTGGACAGGTCAAAAGGAGCTGACTTAGGTTGCTCTAAGGTTCTTCCATCGATGACCTTAGATCTAAGAGAGAACTTAGAAAAACCCTTTTTGGCATACCTTTTGAAGTTGGTAGCCATCATGGACATGTTGTCAGCTTAGTCATTAACTGTGGGTCCATCACCCTCATCATCAACTTCACTAGCATAACTTTCAGCAATTTATTCCTTTCTGATAGTTTCTTCATCAGATTCAATCAGATAAATGATACGAGGTTCACTCAATGATTTCCTTGTATCATTGCAGAGAAAAGCAACATAAGTACTTTTGGGATCTTTTAAGAATGTTTTTTTAGAATCTTGGTTTCCTCATAATTATGAAGAGTTCCATAAAAAGCAGTAAGAGACATATTATCAAGATCTTTGTTTGTCTTGATACAAGTACAGATGTTTTCCCAAAAATCTGGTAAACAGTCTATCAACTTGCACAAGACTTCTTCATTTTCATAGACTTTGTCATGAAGCTTCAGATCGTTGAGGAGACTGTTGAACCTGTTGTAGTACTCGGTAAGAAATTCACCTTTCCCATACACAAAGAGCTCATATTACCTTACGAGACCAATCTTTTTGCTTTTCTTGACTTCAATGGTTCCTTCATACATAATAGAGAGAGTGTTCCACATGTCCTTAGCAGTAGAGAGGTTCACCAAGGAGTGGTAAACATCATCGGGAAGAGACAGGGCAATGATAGCCCTTACCTTGGTATCCAATGAAACTTTCATTTTGTCATTTTCATTATACTATGAAAGATCTTTGATGATGAACCTTCCAGTACAGTCAAATTTCTCTTCATCATCATAATCATTTGAAGAGTCACCTTCATCTTTGTTCTTTCCATGACGAAGCCAGACTTTTGAAACAATAGGGCCATCCTTGAGGATAGAGAGAGAGATTGACTATCAACACCCTCAAGGAAGAGTGTCATGCGACTTGGCAATAGTGTCATTGTCATGGTAAGAAGGAGTGAAGTTGGAAGAAGAAAAGACCATTACAGATCTAGCTTATAAGATTAAGCTAATTGCTTTGATACCACTTGTTGGTCCCGAAAGGGATGACAATAAACATAAAGTAATAGTAGAAGGGGGGTTGGTTGAATACAATTACACGATCTTTTTTAACTTTTTAATTATTATTGATGAATATCAAGAATTAACACAGAGATACAATAAAGATTGTTACGAAAGAAAAGAAAGGATAACCTAACCTAAACAATCTCACAAGAAGAATAACTAAAAAAAATAACACAGAGAGTACTTTCAATGTGATGAAGAACACACTAAGTTTTTCTTCACACACAGGAGAGTAGGAGAATAGAAGAGGAGAGTCGATTGCTTGAGAATGCACTTAGAAATCTTTCAAAGGAAGTCCACTCTGCATGGGAGATGCATAATGCATTTTATACTACCTTCAACATTAAATGCATGGGGACACTTGTCACTTGAGGATAAGAATGCAGGGGTTGACTTGACCATTGTTGATATCTCATTTTCATCGTACACAACGTGCATACAACATTGTTCATGCAGAGACAAACTTTTGCAGAGATATGGTCATTTTGTAGAAAGTTTTTCTTTAAATGGATTAGTAGCTTCAAACAACTACTCACAAATCTTCGGTGTCTGAAGATCTTCCTTCAATCGGCTGGTAGCTTCAAAATATTTTAATGTTATGTTCGACCATGCCATATTGCCACAAAACTTTCCATGGGCCACCTAAATGTTAATGAGAAGTTTTGCTCAAGAAAAAACCGTTCTTGTGTTGGAAATTGCCGGTGTCACGCACTAGCCAAACATAACAAACACGCATCTTGCTAGTCTTCGAAACCCGCTCATATCATGTCGGATTGCTACCAAACTTCCTGCATGCTCTTTCCAGCACAGATAAAATCCAATCCGATAGATAAAACGAGAATTCATACCAATGTTTTTCGGATGACCCGTTCAGCCGATACACCAAGGGTAAACCCTTGGAGTTTGGCATGGTCAAACAAAACATCTCATGGTATGAGGTGATGACAACTATGCAACACTTGGTATGAAAGTAATTAGCATCACGTTAAGGACCGAAATAAACAATAGGGGACTCTGGAATTGAAAATCAATCCAATAATAATTGAAAACAAATGCAATATATATATATATATATATATATATAAACTCTTAATATAACATTATATGATCCTCTTAATTAATTAAATAAAGAATGCAATTGCTGATCTAACACGGAGTTCTAGCTTACTAGCACACATTTTGATAGATATAATAATTATGCTTGAGTTGAGGAACACTAGACCCACGAAATGGAATGAAATATAATAATAAAACCATATAATAAAATAAAAATAAACATTAAAAGAGCAGTAACGGCGTAGATCCGACGGACTTTAGGGATTTTGCTTTCTTCACACGTCCTTTATTTCATCCTCCTATTCCTTTTTCTTTCAACATGGGACCGCTTTTCAAGGAAGAGTTTTCTATACATTTCTTATTTGACTCATAATTATCCAATTTAATAATCATCATTTGGGTGTAATAGAGGGGGTGATTGCAATTTGCATGCATGCGTGGCTATATCTACAGCTTATCACACTCACATGACTCTCTCTCCCTGTGACTCTGCATATATAGGGATCTAGCCCTTTTGCTTGGAGGATGATGCATGCTTTCTCAGAAACAAAAACTATGTTTATACACAGCTCAGACCAAAGGAATTGAAGGCACAAGTTTAACAGAAGCAGTGAATTCGGTATCAGATGATCGGTTAGTTAGTTAAGGTAACCATATATTTCTTCTACTCAAATGTCTATGATCATTAGCTAATCTATAATATGTTGTATTGCTTCAAATTAATATATGCTACATTCATATAGCTAATTGCAGCATAATTAAGTATGTCATAATATGGGTTGAGAGATGAGATGAGATGAAATGTAATTCACAGGAATATGGGTTGAGAGATGAGATGATCAGGCTTTTTCTTATGTTTGCTGAAAATTAAAAGAGAATACATTTGGATGGAGTAGTACTACTACTAGTCATACTCTTGCATGCATGAAGAAAGTTTTAAGTTGTACTTTGCGGAGGGTGCAGGTAGGATGATGGCTACAGGAAACGGACAAGTGTCGGTGCCTCCCGGGTTCCGGTTCCACCCTACAGATGAGGAGCTGTTGTATTATTATCTATGGAAGAAGGTTTCCTACGAGGCCATTGACCTTGATGTTATCAGAGAAGTAGATCTCAACAAACTAGAGCCATGGGATCTAAAAGGTAACATTTCTTTCCATTTCTTCAATTAATATATACATACATATACATATACATTTGTAAAGAAATTTCCATTTTTGAATGTAGACAAGTGTAGAATTGGGTCGGGTCCACAGAATGAGTGGTATTTCTTTAGCCACAAAGATAAAAAGTATCCTACTGGAACCCGGACAAACCGTGCAACAGCCGCTGGATTTTGGAAAGCAACTGGGAGGGACAAAGCCATCCATCTCCTTAGCAATTCCAAAAGAATCGGGATGCGCAAGACCCTAGTATTTTACACTGGACGTGCCCCTCACGGCCAAAAGACAGACTGGATCATGCATGAGTATCGCCTAGATGATCACTATCCTAATCCATCCGAGGTCCAGGTATAGTGCTAGTGCTAGCATTTTAAAATTATTTATTAATAAATAAACTACGTACACAACATTAATATGTATATGTGTAATTGTAATTAAACAACAGGAAGATGGTTGGGTCGTCTGTCGAGTATTCAAAAAGAAAAGCCATAACAGAAGCCCATTCCAATCTGATCAACATCATACTCTTCAGCCTGCAGATGATCATCATCAGTTAACTGATCAAGACAACAATAAGAATGGCAGCCTACAGTTACAAGCTCTGCATAATAATAGCTACGACTCTAGTACCAGCGCTACAACCTTATTTGATAGTTCCATGCATCTTCCTCAGCTGTTGACATCTCCAGATGACCACACCCCATATTTTCAAGGCTGTACCATGATGATCAACGACATGGATAGTTCCAGGAACTTGTTGAGCTTAATGTCATCAGCCAGCTGTCGGGCTGGTAATTGTGCAGGTTGCAGTAGCGGACATCAGCCGCAAGACAAACCACTATTAGCTACTAATAATGACTGGTCCTTCCTCGACAAGCTTCTAGCTTCCAACCAACATCACCTCGGCATTACCAGCTTTGATCCTTCATCTTCCCAACCCTTTCATCATCCTGATGTCAACCCCTCATCTCATGTATTTCCTTTCCATTACCTTGGTTATGAAACTGACATTCTCAAGTTCTCCAAGTGATCAAGGAGGCTTCTTCTACTTCCTTATATATGGAAATCGATCTAGTAGTATAATACTCAAATCCTTCACTGCTTCCCATCCACCTTGGTATTAATCTATTGTCATGAAACTTTCATGATGGAAAAAGGAATTTATTAAATATCAGCGCTAGCTAGCTAGTTATATACATATATAATCCATCTTTATGGATATAAAGTTCATTTTTTTATAATTTGCGCTCATTATTTTTCATTCCTAGTAAATCCCAAAAATTGTCCCTTGGGTTTATAAAATACTCTGTTTCTCGTTCCTAACTTTTTAAAATTACAAGAACATCATCAGGGTTTTGATTTCATTAGGATGATAGTTCATGGTCGTTATTGTCACTAGTTGCCGCCGTTAAGTGATAGTATATATACCCTTTCACAAGTGATCATATTCTCTCCAAGTATTCTCCATCTCTCCATAAGATTCTTAGATTATATTGTTAATAATAGTCATAATCACAATAAATTTATAACATGTTATAAATCTCGAATCAAGGCCAGAAATTGACAAAGTAATATTTCCATTTATTCATCAAAAGAAGCGTCCCTTTTGAAGCAAGAATTGGCATATGGCAAGTTTCTATGTTCAATATCTTATATGCAATTTCCATTAAACATTTAAAATAACTAATAGCCGCCCAAAGGGAGAAGAGATTTAATATTATATTTTGGCTATCCAATATTACCAATGGTTTTACACTACAGCAACCCAAGTCGCCAAGTAAAAAATTACTTACAAAGTTGCCATGAATGAGCAGCTTATTTCTCCTTGATGTTTCTTCCCTATCTGTTCACCATGGCGTACATTCAACAATTGCTCCACTGCATAATGAGCAAAGTAAACTACTTCCGATCATACAACATAACAAGTTAAAAGAGTAACAGCTACAAAAAGGAAAAGGGAGTTATCTTTTTCTAGCATGAATAACACAATATAATGATGCAAATATGACCTGCCGCTGATTAAGATTAAGCTGAAGCTCAATGGTAAATCGATATTAGAAGAATTAAATATAAGAAGTGAGGAGTAATTCTTACTAGATTAAGAAAGGGACATATAGAGGTCTTGCTCACTACGTAATCTCTCAAATATTCTTTCTAACTACCGCTTGCGTACTAAAAACATTCTATTTTAGATTTATTACATCAGGACTCTTCTTACTAGAAGGATTCCTTTTTTTGACATCACCATTTCCTGACTTCTCAATCAACTCCTTTCATGTACCACATCTTTACCCTTGGCTCGAATTAGCTAGGCTTCCATCATGAAATAAGCCCCTCTCTCTTTCCAGCATGGATGCACCACAAGGTCAACCCAATCATTGGTTGAAGAAAAGAGTTTTCAATTTCCTCTTCTCATACAAGAAATTGTCAATTGTGTGGATTTAAAAAAAGCAAGGAAAACATGAACAAAGCACAAAGCCAAAAAAAACAAAAGGAGTTAAACCTCGTAATAAGTGTAAATAACTGAAAACCATGCCAGATATATGATTCACCAGTCTTCATACACGTATCAAATTTACCCCAACCTAACTAAATGTAATAAAGGCTTTGCTAAAAGCTTCACTCTAATTCAGGGCCTTCACAACCTTCTTTTTATACGACTTCAAATCCTTGTTGGCAGTCTGAATGGAGCTGCTGTTTGCATTGTCAAATGAGAGATATCAAAGTTCTTTTACTATTTGAACAACAGTATGAGAAAGGAAATCTCCTGCTAATGGATGGGAATTACAAGGGCAGGCATGGATATTGCCTCCCCCATTTGTAAATTACACCACTATCTCAACAACCAAATGACATTCGATTAACTCACAAGCTCTGTCCTTCACACTTGAAACTCTTCTCTACCCAATGATGTATTTAGATCGAAAAGAAAAAAATAGATTGAAAGAATGCATAAATGGTATTAAAAATCTTCCTCAAGACCATTAGGTCACAAAGAAATAGAATGCTCTCCAACTTGAGGTTCTGCCCTTTTATACCCAAACATCACCCCCATGACAGATTGCTACCCTCCACTATTCACTTCTATTAACTACCATCACTGTTTACTGAAACACCCTTATTCCATTCATCTTCTATTCCTCTTGGAATGTGAACCTCACCGCAGGTTTATCAATACCCGCCCTCCACACTTTTACCATGTCCTAAAGATGAAAATTAAAAAACTTCATAATCTTCCAAGAAGTTTCAAAAAGAGGTTGTCCTTTCCATTTACTCCATGCCTCCAATACTCCTGGCTGACCATTCGGTTAGGTTTGAAGCAGTAGTACTTCTTCTGGTACTATGACCATTTCCATTTCCTAATTCAACTGCATAGATACTGTTGTCGAAAAGACACATTGACCAATAGCTCACTGTACTTGTGATATTGAAACACCGGGTGGATTTTTAAAGTAACTCTAACCTGTACAAAATGGACCATAGTACCTTGCTGCCACTTTTACATTGTTGGATACTGTGAGCGACTTCTGTCTATACGGTCGTAATTTCATAAAAACCAACTCACTTATTTAACTCCATTCTGTATTGATCAGCTTCTTGTTTCATCTTATGTCGGGCTTGAAGTAAATGCATTCCAAGAGTATCCAAGATATCATCCCTGTCTTTCAGCAACTGTTTGTTATACCGCAATATGATGCACATATTCTAGGAAAAAGAAGGCTGACGGTACTTCGGTAATTGGAGGTGGCAGGTTGGGAGGTTCAAGGTAGAAAACAGTTGGATTCGGTTAGAATTAGTAGGGATTAGGCTATGTTTTGCAAACTAGCTTATAAGCCAACTAATAGGCTAATAAGCTAGTTGGTGGTTGATGAACAAATTACGTTTGGCAAAAATTAGTTGATAAGCTAGATGAAAAATGTAAAATGAACAAAAATGACATCTTGAAAAATTAGCCAATTACAACATTCCATAATATAATTAAAACAAATCCTTGATAATATAATATGTTAATTAATACAAACAAGATAGTAAAGAAAGATAAAATAATATAATATGCTAATTAAAAGAAACTAAAGTTGATTATATATGTGTGTGTGTATATAGACATGGGATCACGTGAGACCAACCTGTTTTCGTAAGACCTGTAAGACCATTTTTTTGAACTTGAAACTTCACAGCAAAACGTTGTGAAGGTAACCTTCAAAGTGTTTTTCTTGTGAAGGTTCAGATCTTTTTTACCTTCACAATGTTTTGCTGTGAAGTTTCAACTATAAAAAAAGTGGTCTCACGAAAACAAACCGGTCTCACGTGAACCCAATCCTATATACATACACACACATACATATATACATATTTTATAACTTTTGGATTTGTTAAAACAAATTTTAGAAAAAATCTACATTAATTTATGATCAAGGCTATCCAACTTGATGCTCGTGCCCCTTTATACCCAAACATAAACGCTATTTAACTACACTTTGTGACTCATTCCTACCCTTCCATATTGACTTTTATTAACTAGCATCACTATTTGCTAACACATCCTTATTCCTTTTATCTTATATTCCTCCTGGCTTATGTAAACCTCACCGCATGTTTATCCCCCAAGTATTCTTGGTCTGCTTCTAGAGAAGGCCAAGAGATTTGAAGACTATATAGCAACTGTAAGCCGAAAGCATCAGGGAGTCCATTCATAGGATCGTAGAATGGTACTGGTATATAACAAACGTAAACAAGACAAAGCAACTGAACCTTCTGCTATACTTAGGACATTGGATATTGATATGTTCAACTAAATTCACAAGAGGCTACATTAGCTGTGGTCAGATCAAATTAACAGTTGGCACCCTATGAAAACAACAGGAAGAAAGAGCATGGGCAGGATATTAATACCTTTTCCGTGAGACAAATCAGCACCATATATGCAACATAAACATCATCTGTTGGTAGCCATTGCTTCTTCAATGCTCCTGATAATTACACTGAGACTACCACCACTTTCCAGAGCTTTAACAGCGGCTTGATGAGCATGTCTATGCCATTTCAACAGATTATAAGACTGCAGAACTGACCACCTTGCTTGATTTGACATCTATTTCAAGACAAAAGCATGATATATCATCATCTACCAAGAGAATGGCAGCAGCAAGAACTCAGCAAGATCTAGGAAATGGCAGGTAAGAAGAAAACGGCGGTGGTTACCTGTGCAACAGAGAATGGTGGTTCCAAAAGCAAACAGATGCTCCTAAATAGATTTTCATCATTCTCTCCGCCCTCAGCCTCTCCATAAACAAGAGCTTCTGCTGCTATCCCAGCAAATAGCACCATGCAGTATCTGAACAAATATAACAATGAACGGAACTCCTAAGAAATAATGATTAGAAATCCCAAACAAAGTACGCAAATGATCCCATCTACGAGGCTACCCTCTATGAAGTTAATTCCTAAGACTTACCATACATGTGAGTGAGGAGTGACAATTGTTTTTCAGCCAACTTCACAAAGCACTTATGGTGCATCAGATAATTTCAAGATTTCTGTAAAAGGTCCAGTCTATATATAGGACATCAATGTTGAACCATCAAGCGCTTAAATGTAAAAATAAAAGGGAAAGTGAAAATGAAAACGAAACCGAAACCAGTATCTCGGAAGAATCACCCAAGGAAATAGGCTCTTCATATGAAGGACACATTTTCTCCCAAGTAAGAAATATTGCTTATTTTTTCTGCCAAACGGTTGCTAATTAGACATGGCATGAGGAAAGGAAAAAAGTGGTCAGGCATATCCACCTGTCAAAGGCAATACCGCTGAGTCGTCCATCAGCAAGCTCATTTTGAAGGTTCTCATCCCAAAACTGTGTTCCTGCCTGCGTTGCAAGCCAATATATTTGCAGGTAAATTACAAGGACATCATGAGTGACTTCAAGTGTGCATCCTAAGGATTACCTGCCCTTGAATTCCCATCTGCATTGCAATGATAGGATCTAAAATTACGCCACGAATGGGGCATCCCATGAGATAAGCTGCAATTTTCATAATAGGAAAATAGTCATTAGCAAAAAACAAGTCACTAAAAGAGGACCCCGTAAACATTTTCCAATCAGTATCCAACAGAAATGTTACTGGTCTATTGTTTATCTAGACTATGAAACCGTAACACCCCAATCCCGTCGTTAGACCAATAACCTTCTCATCAACTTAAAACCATGGTAGAAAGATATTGATAGCCCAAAACCTATGACTTATAAGGACCTAACAGTTCTAACTCACAATCATGTGGGATAGAATGTCAAATCTCCCCCATTTAAAGTCCTGACATCCTTGTCAAGCCTACACAAAGACCCAAAGAATTATACTCATGAGATGCACAAGTCTATCCCACTTTACTTTGACAGGGTAGAGCTCTTATACTGCTTGTAACACCTCAATCCTAAAACGGAATGCTGACCCAATAACCTCCAAATCAACTTAAAATCATGGGGCATAGTTATTAGTATCCCAAAAGTTGTGAATTATAAAAGGCTCACAAGTCTAACTCACAACTAATGTGGGAAGATTCACAATAGGTCACATATCACTGCAACTAAAGATCCATTAACTTTCTAGGCATGCGGAAGTGGCTGCTTAGGTTTACCTTCTAAGTTTTAACAGACCCACTGCGACATCCCGTTCCCGGGGGTATCGTCCTTTGCCCTTGGTACAAGTGAATGAAAGAAAACTTCGTATCCTAAACTTTTATTCCATTATAATAGAGTTAATACAACAGCGGAAGATGCTGAAAATTTACAACTAATAATATTCTAACATCTTAGAATAGCAATACTTCAGCTTGTTCCTACTCCGTGATTCCTGAGATGCATACATAAATACGTAAGCTTTAAGCTTAGTGAGTAGTTATGGTTTCATGATAAAACATTCTTTCCAACTAATCAAAATAATTCTTATAAACTTTCATGTATAAGAACATTTCTTTGAGATCTCATAGTTACATTTTAAGTAAACCAACTTCTCACAGGTTCTTTAACCTCGGGTCCACATAAGGGTTGCCCAATAAGGTCCGTTTGCAAGCCGTACCTTCTTTCCATATCCCGTACATTGGATATTTAAATGGTTGTACTTAACATGTATAAAAACTTTCATGCCTTGTGTACATACATGTATTATAACATGCAAACACTTTCATGCTTTGGTGTATAACACATGCTTGTATCAAAACAAGTCATCATGCATCTTTTGTATAACATTTTCACGTAAAGCAAACATGCCAAAATATCTTGTAAATACTTACATGTAGCATGTATGTACCTCATAAATCTCATAAGTACTCACCTTATTTTGGACTTCCTAACTCACTTCTTAATCTTTATTATGCTTTAAGGTAGTATTACAATCTTTTGGGATGGAAAAGAATGAGCCGTTTTAGCTTCTATTTATAGGGTGTAAGGTATGCTTTAAGGTACTCGTTCACTTAGCTTTCAACTTGTAAGTTTCTAAGGATGTGCCACATATGTACTTGTTCATTCTAGCCTTGCCTTGTAATGCTTTTAGGGTTGCCACAAACTCCTTTTCTCTTACAACTCATTCTCTAGGCTTGCTTTGTCATAAAGACTAGGCTTGCTTTGTCATAAGAATTTTTGTGGCTCATGTTGTTTGTCTTTAAGTAGCCTAGTAAGTAGCTTATGTGCTTATGGTAAGTAGCTTTGTAAGCTACTTGTATGCTTGCTTACCTATTTATTAATACTTTTTTTAATAATGTTATTTACTTTGTATTAGTTCTTATATTAAGGGCCTTTAGAAACAACTTAACTTTATAAGAAATTATGATAAAGATATGTATATATCTATATATGTGGCTGAAAATTAGGGACTCACCAATGGCACAAACCATCAAATTGACGCTAAAGAGTATGCTAGAAGGAACACAGCTAGAAACTTTAACGAAACAAGACTCACAAACAAGAAGATGTCCTGCTTCATGCACAAGTATGCGCCGCTTGTATGGAGGCCAATAACTTGATATCTGGGCTAAACAGGAACCACCAAGAAATATTGAATCTACCATGGCTACACCCAATATTACTGCCAGATGAGGTCTGAGATCAATTCCATGGTCTACCATATATGATAATCCAGCAAAAAGTGCTACCAGAACAATACTAGAGCTTCTGGAAAGACCCCATTTCTTTGGTGAAAGTTTGGAAACTGTACCATGAATTGGAAGAATGAAGAGGTAGTTAGAAACTTTTTGGGAAGTGAAAGATATAGTCTTATTACAAGGGAAGTGAGGCATATTAGTCTCATTATAGCTTTATCTCAGTTACAGAACAGATGATTAACTCCAACATTTCGTACTTTACAAGATCGCGTGAGTTTCAATGGAAAGGGAATGCATACCTTCTAAACCAGTTGAAGACTGCAAAACAGTTGGGGTAACGTCTCTTGGTCCCTCCAGAACTGCATATTGTAAAACAAGGACTGAGAATGGAAGATAAGGTTGTTCTTGTCAAGAAATATAGTCGAGTCTCAAGGTAAGAGACATATAAGATAGTCCTATTGCAATTAGTGAACAACCCCTGTTGTGGAGATAGATATGCCAAAAATCAAAGTGCAAGAGAAACATGATCAGAATTACAACTGTTGGTATAAGAGTATTCTATGAGCATTTAGATGTCCAGTAATAGTCTTGGATTTCCTCAACTTAGTAATACACTTGCATGATTGTACATAGAGCAGATTAGTAAACAAACTTGGTGACTGGAATGACAAACAAATAGAACTAGTTGCTTGTTGGTATGGATATGTATATGAAATCAAGTGCCAAATATATACAACTATTGAAGTATTACTGCTGAAATTTGTTCAGATTCTAGAAGACCCTGCAAGTGAGGTAATACGGTCTTTACTCTCCCCTCATGAGCTACTGTTATCGAGCAGCAATTACCCTAAGTCCTAACTTGGTCCTTTCTACATCAAGTGGTTGATCTAGCTAATGGTACAGATCGACTCCTGCTTCCATAGGAGAAATGAATGTTACTAGAACCAGTAATCTTGCCAAAGCATTCATACAAAAAATAAGTGAATAATTTTTGTATAACCAGGATGGACGAAGGATAATGTGAGAATATGAGTTCTTGATCACTTTTAATCTCACCCCCACCCAATGAATTGGGCTTGATACGTGCATCGCATCTCGTGACTCATGATCTTCGGTTAAATGGGAACAAAGAAGTGGTAAGATGGACTCTTACGAAATATTACCAATACTGCGGTACTTTCCGAAATAATTCAAGAAGCCCTTGTCCGTGAGAAAAGCATAAGCACTTCCAACAAGCCTCATATCATCGGCGTTTAAGCATGTATCCAGGACTTGCCAATCCCTCTGCAACTCCAACAGTCCCAAGCGATTACCACCTTGTGAGTCAACGGAATAATCATTAGGCAGTGGGATTTCCTGGAGGAAACGTAGGGCTCGAGCAAGATCTTTGTCTTTAACAGCTTCCTCATACTCTCTCCATTCTGTAAGTGCTCTGGCTGTGGTTCGCCGTAAGCCTTGTCTGCTTCCGAATGGATAATCTGGAAAGAAGTGAATTGTTCGCGAGAGGCCATATTGGCGTAAGGGAAGAAGCGGAGCCAACGGAGTACATCGGAGGAAGATCACCATTGGAGCTATGTGGTTATTGGTCGACTCATCTGGAAACAATTGAATTGAAAGAATCTATCGGGCTGGGCAAAGCGAGACACGTTGCTACTTACTAAGTTACTAGTGGTTGAAAAAGCCCAAATGTTCCCTATTTTAGTGATGGTCAAACCGGTCTGGTCCGTGATCCGGAGAACCGAAACCGGGACCGGTAAAGACCGGTTACAAGACCATTGACCGGGACCGATTATGGTTTTGGATTGTTTTGAGGGTCCGGCCTGGTTTTTCAAAAATAATAGTTGTTTTTTTTTTAAAGAGTTGGTTTATAATATGTATTTAAGTGAACCAATTATAAATTTTATAATGCGTTAAAAAATCTATTATTAAAAAAATAAAAATTTCAAGATAGGGACCGGCTATCCATAACCGGTTATAGGAAGGCTTAACCAGGCTCTTCATTTTTGATCGGGACCGGGACCAGCTACCTATAACCGGTTATGGCCTGCACTGTTGAGGCCCAGGACCGGTTTTTGGCCATCACTAGTAAATTTGATGATTTTGTGTAATAGATATGAATTTTGAAAAAATTACACCGTTTTAAATGTATATCTAATTATCTATACTATCTTATAACGTAAATCCTTAAAAGTCTTAAAAATAAGTTTTTAAGCAATAATGTAGTGTTGTTTTATACACAATCTCTTAATTATAAGTTAAAAAACATGATGTACAACTCTTAGGCTTTGTTGATTCCTGTTGATGACTATTCGATATCCGAGAACGACTATTCCAACTCCCAAGAACTATACGCTTCTCTCTTTGTTTCACTCTTTCCATATGTCTCAACACTGCAAAACCGTAAATTTCTTTTACCCAAAATTGCTTGAACGAGGTACGTTTTAACTATTGTTTTTGTTTTAAGATTTGTTTATGTTCTTCCACCTTTTTGTTTCGTGACATATGTTTCTCTTCCCCCTTAATCGGGTACTCGTTGATATCTCGACTGGAGACCTTCTGTTTTCTATGATCATCTTGCATGTACACTTTGATCCTTCATTTGTGTCACCTCATGCATAGATCACATGATCAACTTTTTATATAAAACTTGGTTATATGCAGTTTATTTTGAGGGGGTGATGCAAAAAGAATATCAAACTCGACTGTAATGACCAATGTCATGACTAATGTACAGAAAACTTTTGAATTTAGGTTGAGAATCTTCGCACGCCATTGAATCGTACTTGAATCAGTTTGATAATCTTTCTCTGTATCCATCACCTCTCATATCTATTGATTGCAAAATTCAAACCGTTAAAATTTCTTTTTCACTGAATTCTCATTAAATTTGTCTGTACTATGCAAATATCGAAAACAAGTTTCTTGGGAATCTTACTATTGATGTGGATGAATCACTGATCTACTGTGATTTTGTCATGATTGAGGAGATCAAGTCCTTCACAAGAAAAGATTGATGGATCTTTTCTATACAGTTTCTGAAAAAGATGCAAAACGGTATTGTTGCATCCCATGTCTAAAATATTGTATTTCCCTTTCTACCACAAATCAATGACACCATAATATAGCTTTTTTAAAGTTAGTTTATGACATCATGCAGGTTATGAACAGTTTGATAAGTCTAAAAGCGCTTCAACCTATTGGAGACATGTCAACAATATGCAAAACATCATCTTTTCATTTGAAGTTGATTATGGTCCTAATTGGGTCATCTATTCGTCACACCTGACTTGTCTCCATTTCAAACATAAGTTAGAAGATCTGTTTAGTTTTTATTTTCTTTTTAGATAATTTGCTAAGTCAGTCACCAGATCTAGAGCCTACTTTACCTGCAACAGGCGAGGTAAGCAGTTGATACACTCGAAAGTACCTTTAAGTTCTCTGTTTTTTGATATCATATGGATTTGTTTTCATTCCAATTGTTGTATGGAAGCAACACCATGATGGAGCTCAACTTTTGTACATTTTTATAAACATGGTTTCTTGAGAATGTTACGGTTTTCCTGCAGGATTTATTTTATATTGCAACATATGATCCTTTGCGGTTCCCATCAACCTTCACGTTTGTATTTAGGGCATTTTCCACTCTTGAAGGTGACCTTGTTACCAACTTATGTTCTAGCCCACATCTTCCATCAAAAACCAATAGATCAGGAGTACACTTATCATACCATAGTAACAGAAGAACATAGACATCCTACCACCTCTAAAGGATACAAATCTGTTGCAGCCACAACACCAAGAACAACTGTTGAATCACCACCTTATAATAGAAACCGAACAGTAAAACCATAGAACTCAAGTATGCCAACACTGAGGCTGTGCAAATCCAGTAAAACCATTGAACTCCCTCCCTTCTTTGTTTCTTGGTGTATTGGCTGTTTACCTCTTTGGTATGAATCTCGGTCAAAGTCATGAGGATCTCTCGAAGACAATTCTCCTTCTCATTTCAAAGATTGTAGACAACGCCTCCTACCAAATTATGACGATCGATATCCATGAAATCTCAATGATTTATAACTCAAAGGAGTAACATTTTTCCAATTATAATTTAATTGTGGAACAGAGATAGATTTATAACTCAAACAGTGTCTTATATACATATTTTTTCTATTAACTAATAGAGAAAATAGCAATGTATTTTGTCTATAAATTTTGTATTTAAATTTTATAATATAAATTTACATCTTTTGCATTGCGTGAGATACAGAACCAGTGATTATATAAACACGTTTCACTTTTTTTATTATAATTGTGTACATGTTTTTTATGTTTTGTTAATTTTTTAAACAACAAAATGTATAAGCAAATAAATTAATAAAAATAATTATGTTGATTAAATTTATATTAATTAATAATTAATCAGAAGTAATATTAAATCCAAAGTAAAAGAGATTTTGTAATTCTCCAGCTTCAACCATGGAAATTAAAATTTAAACCCACAGAATTATGAAAACAAAATTTTAATTTATTAATTTTTTTTTATTAACCTGAATATCCAACCCGTTATGCGAGTCGACTAATTCCAATATAACCATCTGTTTTGCAGTTAGTCCAGAGTTATCGCATTTGAATTTTCCTAGTTAAAGAGGATTTTTATTTTTTTCCTAAATTTGAATTTAAGACCTGTGTGGTTAAAATAAATTTCTACGAATGAATGGGTGCAAGGGTGTTTTGGTAATTAGGCAGCAGGAAAGAAAACATTGTGGGCTGTAATGAAGAGGAAAACAACGGGAAATCAGCCCACCAGAACAGCCAAAGAAAAGCCGCATCACAACAACTACGACTCGTGAATCTAGGGTTCTTTTAAATCTCGACACAAACACCATACGTTCACGATCCTTCCACCTTTCTACTCGTAAGTTTGATCCTTGACAATATCTACTGAAACTTTTTTCGTTTCTGTTTCTGATCCTGATTTTGTTTTGTTTTTGTAGGGAATCTGCAATCAAGGTATATACAAAACCAAAAATGGCGACCAAGAAGAGTGTTAGTAGTCTGAAAGAAGGAGATCTCAAGGGGAAGAGGGTTTTTGTTAGGGCTGATCTCAACGTACCATTGGACGATACATTCAAAATTACTGATGATACCCGTATCCGTGCCGCCGTTCCTACCATCAAGTACTTGATATCTAATGGCGCCATAGTCATCCTCTCTTCTCATCTGGTATATATATCTCCTTCTTAATCAGATCACAACTAACATCGATCATCTTCACTTATTAATTGATATCGACCATCCCTTTTTGGGATTCCTACCTCGTTCTGAACCTGTTTCAGATCCTTAACATAGAGCAACAACTTGGATATCAATCAACCTTCAGATCACTGCTTCATCCTTATACACTTCATGTGTAGATTTCTTGATTTTCTAAGTGTAATACATGGTGGATACAAATTAAGCTTGATTTGTGATCGAGTCTTAAGGAACCATCTACTTTGTTTGAGATCGAGTCTTAAGGAACCATAACCCAAACACTTAAATGTTATTTTATTTCATATCTATTTATTTGCTGCTACCACTCCGAAAATTTCATGGAACCGTCTCATTAATTTTAGGAATGCCAACGGGCTGGGTTCGGGCCGGTAATTGGTATCCCTGAAAACGATAACTAAGACTGACCGATCCCCGTTGGGGATCCCTTTAGGAGTAAAAATCCCTTTTTTCCGTTGGTTTCCTGTTCACCGTTGGTTTCCTGTTCACCGTTGGTTATACCCGAACCTAAAACCTGAACCGATCTGAAAAAAATACATTTTACTTTAATTTTCACAACCAAAAGTAAATTACAATTTTCCTAATGATGCAAGTCTAAATGTCTCAAACATAATCAAACCAATTACAAACAACGTCTTATATTACTATGTAAAGGTAAACCGAAATTCAAACATCAAACAACTAACATCACGATTTCACGATTAGACAAAATAAACTAGACTTTTTTGTGAGCCTTATTTGGGGTGTTGAGGTAAATTGGATAAAAAGTTTTTTAAATTTTAATGTTAGTATTTTCTTTTAGTGACATATATAAATAGATATGTATGTAAAATTAAAATTAACATATATACACATATCGGGCCGGGCAGGGTCGGGCCGGTTATCACCGTCCCCATCCCTGATAAAATCCCCATGTCCCCAATCCCTGCCCTGTCCCCGATAAGATGTCCACGAACCCGACCCGAAAATTTTGGTTTTCGGTTTTCACCATCGGTTTTGGTTTTTTTTGCCATCCCTACTCATTATACATATGGTAAGGATCCAGTTCCAATGGTGGATGATTTCCTTTCCGTTTTATGCTTCCTACTGAAGTTACGAAAGCTTGCTGGAAAGTTTACATGTAGTGATGGGTTTTCTTTGTTTCATCGATCTGTTGTTTATAGGGACGTCCAAAGGGTGTCACTCCAAAGTACAGCCTGAAGCCACTGGTGCCTAGGCTCTCCGAACTCCTTGGACTTGAGGTTTGTTCAACTGTGCATCTGAACTCATGGATTTCTGGTTTTTGTCATTGCAAGTGTTTATTCAAGTGTTTCTCTCTGTGCCTTTTATTTTATCATGTAACAGGTGAAGATAGCAAGTGACTGCATAGGTCCAGAAGTTGAGAAACTGGTTGCTGAGACCCCAGAAGGGGGTGTTTTGCTCCTTGAAAATGTGAGATTTTATAAGGAGGAAGAGAAAAATGATTCTGAATTCGCGAAGAAGTTGGCATCCCTAGCTGACCTGTATGTCAACGATGCTTTTGGCACTGCACATAGGGCCCATGCATCGACTGAGGGTGTGACGAAGCATTTGAAGCCTTCTGTTGCTGGTTTCCTCATGCAAAAGGTTTGTTTTTCAACAACCATAGCTATTATAAATACATTTTTAAGAAGCCGTTACTGCGGCTTCGAGGTAATATTTGCCGGCACATATATTTCATTGGATATTGAGCAAGCGTTGAAATTTGAATTTTCTCTGCATATATGAAAGCGCCAAAACGATGATAGTTAGGGTAAAGTATTGAATGGTCATGATGCCATGTCATGTTTCTAAAAGAAGTTGATTATTGTTTTCATTTTTAGGAACTTGACTATCTAGTTGGAGCTGTATCTAATCCTAAAAAGCCATTTGCTGCAATAGTTGGTGGGTCAAAGGTATCCAGTAAAATTGGTGTGATTGAGTCATTGTTGGAGAAGGTCGACGTGCTTGTGTTGGGTGGAGGTATGATATTCACTTTCTATAAGGCACAAGGGCTCGCGGTTGGTTCTTCCCTTGTGGAGGAAGATAAACTTGACCTTGCAACATCCCTTCTTGAGAAGGCCAAGTCTAAAGGAGTGTCTCTGTTGCTCCCTTCTGATGTCGTCATTGCCGACAAGTTTGCACCAGATGCTAACTGCAAGGTTAGCTTTTCTTTTTTGCACTTTCAGATTACCTTGTGGAATGTGAGGTTGTTGGGGAAAAGATTGTCACTTGTACCGTGTTAATTAGCAGTTAACTTATGGCTCATTGCAGGTTGTTCCAGCATCTAGTATTCCTGATGGGTGGATGGGATTGGATATCGGACCAGATTCCATAAAGTCATTTAGTGAAGCTTTGGATGCTACCAAAACCATCATATGGAATGGACCTATGGGTGTGTTTGAGTTTGAGAAATTCGCTGCAGGCACAGAGGTACGCATCTTTCAATTTATGTTTTTCATTTTTTGAATGCACCACAGCTGATGTGTGATTTGATGAGTATGTATCTGTGAATCCAGGCGATCGCAAAAAAACTAGCAGAGCTTAGTGGGAAGGGAGTGACGACTATCATCGGAGGTGGTGACTCGGTTGCAGCAGTGGAGAAGGCTGGGCTTGCTGACAAGATGAGCCACATCTCCACTGGTGGTGGTGCCAGTTTGGAGCTTCTGGAGGGGAAGACACTTCCCGGAGTGCTTGCATTGGATGATGCTTAGCCTAGTTGTTTTGTTGTGTTGTAAACCAGAGCCAAATTATAATGTATGTCATGTCATAAAGCTGTTGTTTCAGACTTTGAATTTTGAAATGAATAAGTTGTCCTCCAGCCATCATTGGAGTGGTTTTGAATTCAGTGAACGTAGATGTTTGTAATTTGCTTGCATTTGGACAATTACCTCTTAACATCAATCAGGTTGCAGCCAACGTTGTTGGGTGATGATATTCACATGCACAACAAGAGATCCTTATAATGGAAACAAACTAGATGCATAGCAAACTTGTTGTAATTATACTAGATGGGTACTTGTACAATGCGAGATACATCTTCATTTTAATGTTTTGTTTTATTTTTTGTATATGTTGATATAATACGGTTTATATGGTTTTGTGAAATATAATGTTTTTACTTTTAAATAAAAATAAATTACTTTTAAATAAAAATAAATTTGAATACATCATAAAATTTTGAAAAAATATATCGATATTAATATCAAATTAACTATTTAAAAGTTCTCGTTTTTTTTTACATTTTCTTTAATTTAATTTTTTATTATAATTTAATTTAGATCAAATAGTGAAGTAATTTATTTTTGTTTTAACAATAATTTTTTTATAAAGACAATGATTCTGTTATAATTTTATTGTTAAAAAATACCCAATAACGTTTGTTTTTACGGGAGTAAAAAATGGTATTTTAATGCTGCTTGTGGAGATACAACAAAAGTGATCGCGTGGCCTAATGGATAAGGCGCTCGCCTCCGGAGCGGGAGATTGTGGGTTCGAGTCCCATCGCGATCGGTTTTTAAAATTTTGAATGCTATCTCAACTTGTAATCCATTCATTTTAATGCTACTTCTTTTTATAAACAATACAAATCTAGTTTCTTTCTTGAATTTGTACGCACTCGTGTTCTTAAGGTTTTACTTATAAATGTTGAGATTTTTCTCTGTCGACCCGCGTTCGTAAAATTGTCAAACACCACAGTAGCTTGTATTTTCTTTATAATCACACATCTCTTCAATTTGCTTCCTTTACAGTCTTTGTGTATTGCATTTTTCAGGGCCGTCCTTGACATGTTAAATGTGAGATTTGAATAGACCCCCGAATTATGAGACCCAAATTTACATGTGCTTAGGGTCTTTTATCGACCTGTGTAAAACTATAGCCGAAATTATTTAGGTTCAAATCATTAATGGTTTAGGTTTAGTTTTAGATTGTTAATCTTTCTAGGTTTAGCCCATTTTTGTTCTTAACATATATTCTATGTTATCTTCTTTGTATAATGTAATCAAAAATTTTGAATATAACAGGACCTTTGAAAAGATTGGATCGTCCCTAGAATTTTCTATAGTTTATGTTATTGTCCTCTTCTTCTTGCTTCAAAAAGTCAAGACATTTTAGATTTTGTTATTTCTTTACCTTACAAGCAACAAAAAACTATAAAAAAACTATTTTGGGTGGAAATGATATATGAGAATAGATCAGATCACGCTAACATCAATAAGTTTTCTTACATATATTCGTAAGTAATTATTCAAATTTAGATATGTTTTTATCTTCTTTTTTAAAGAATCTTGAAATAAGAAAAGAGAATAAAAACCTTGACTTTTCGAGATGCATACACAAAGCATACCCACGAAGGTCGACTTGTTGTGGTTGTTTATCTTGTCCTACTCAAGAGTTGTATATCCGTACAACGCCACGCTTCTCAAATTTTGTTTTGTAAAGAAGAATAAAGAAAATGTACCAAGATTTTCATAGTGAATGAACACAAAATTGAAATAAACATTCACACATCTTCTGAAAAATGCTTGAGCAAATCCACACAATTACAATGTTTAAGCAGTGGACATCAAACAAAACTCTAGTTTTCACAAGCCTTTTTAGGAACAATGTCTACCTACAGGGTACAATGGTGACGGAAAATCTCTAAACTCGTTCGCCAAATCTTGATCTTGACGAAAACCCGAGTGATGAAAGACAAAGAATGATGTGTCTTCTACCTCTTGCATAAGAAGAGGAGTACGGGAGCTAGTGGTCGGTTCAACATTTGAAGCTTGCAGCATATCCACTTATCAACTGCCAATCCAGAAGCGAAGCCTTCCACCATCTCATATTCTTCCCTGCATTCATCGACATCTAATCTTAAACATCAATTTCAATTATGGTTTAATCATGTTTTTCAGAACATATATATACAAACAGATTCCGAATGTATGCAAGGAAATATCATTACATCCCACCAGGATGCCCCACATAAACCATGATGCTGATAACACCTCCAGCTGCTACAATTCTGGTTGCAGCCTCCATTCCTAATAGGGTTGTTTCTGATTTAGTAATCACTGTTTTGTCACCTCCCGGAAGATATCCCAAGTTGAACGCAACTAGCCTATCAACCGTCAAATACCACAAAAAGGGGTTTAAAGAATACAATTAATTATTCATGATATAAATCCATGTACATGAAATATACCTCACTGTCACACCCCTTGGAACAACTTCTTCCATTTTGCTGTGACAGGTAGCAAAAAGCTTTACCATTTCTTTCTGGAAAGAATCAAAACTGTATATAAGTTGCAGACATATAGATATGTGTTACTAGCTTCTGATATCTAGATGAAACCAACAAGTATTAATTGTACTCAAGAATGGAGAAATTTGAGAAAATTGGCACCTCATCAGGATCATGTAATCCATCCAACACAGACATGGTATTCTTAATTGCAGTTTCTTGAATATCCATTGCATAAACACGGCCACTGAGTGACTTATCACTCACCATATTCACCATTGCCAATGTATCATAACCGTTTCCGCATGTGGCATCCACAACTGTGTCTCCTTTCTGAACAACATGCTTCCACACACTAGAGGAAATCATACACATGACTTTTTGAAAAAGCCACTGAAGCTTTGTGTGTGTGTGTGTGTGTGTGTTTGTTAAGCTTAAAAGCATGCTTGGATTAAGAGGGGGGTAAACAGGCAATATCTGTGAAACTGTCTGTTAAGCTTTGATATTTGATTTTTTGTCAAGTACCCAAAACACCCAATTTGAGTCAATTCACACTCGTCAATTCAGTTTCTAAAACCTAATAAATCTTGATTACTGGTTATATATGTTGAAGAGTGAATGAAGTACCTACGAGTGAGCAACTTCAGTGGCCTTCTTCTTCCCGAAGATATAATCCATCATCACGCATTCTAGACATGCAGAAAGAAAGAAGGAATACTGCATGATTAGTTGATTGAGTATGAAGAGTCGTAAATTATGAGGACATAGACTCTACCAGATAGAGGAGAGTCGGATGATTTGGAGTGGAAGGCAAGATTAGGATGGCGAGATGAGTATGAGGAGACAAGAGAAACTGAGAAAATCTTGGGGTTGAACACTGGATAACATCGGAAACTCATCATCCTTTTCAATTTGTCCAACGCTGAACTGCAAATTGATGGATTGTTAATCATCGGAAGAAACAGAACTCGGAAAAAGACGTAATCTTTTTGCTTCTTTCTTTGCAGTCGATTCCTCAACACGATACCATTGGCCCAGTGGCCCTGTCTCTAAAAGAATTGAGAGAAGAAGAACCCTAAAGTATTTTATAGGGACTAAAACAGTAATTTCCAGAAAACTAACAACTTGTCGACTTATTCCTGTGTGACATCGATAATAAGTATTTTTAAGTGTTTCGATAAACAATTTATACTGATGCCAAATCGGCGGTAAGAAAATTTTGAAGAAGTTAAACCGTTCCAACTTATAGTAAGTTGATAAGGACTTTTATAGAAAATCATAATATGTTTCAAATAAGTAAATCCCAAACACCCTCTAAAGTTACAACTTTTAGCAAACTATATGGATAGAAAACAAAAAACTTATCATTCAAACACTACTAGAATACTAGGTATCTTCAACGACATAAGACAAAAATAGTCGTCGAAAATTTTCAACAGATTTTCTAGTGCAAACATCTTTTTTCTTTCGATTTTTAGATGGTAGATATATTCAGGGGGTGTTTGGGAAAGCTTATTTAAGGTGCTTATCAACTTATTTCAGTCCACAACC